GTTGTCCTCGGTTCTTATTAATAAGTGACTTGGCCTTTGTTTGTCGACTGTTTGTACCAAAATAAAAGGATAGTGACTTTCTTCTTCAACGGAATTAGCAATTAAGAAAATGTTTCATGCATGCGGACCCGCACCTTCAAAACTTAAAGTTGCCACTGTGCCATGACAAGAGTTGCATATAGATTTGTCTGCCTGGTAGAAATTTCTGCATCTGATTAAATTTTGCTCAGTTCTTTGTCGCGGAGGAAATCATTTTTAAATTTGATCCTCGCATCATTTGATGAAGCGTAATGTGCTTAAAAAATAGTCTTTTATATTGACGTGTAGTGCTACTAACCGCCAATAGATACTGAACATGCGAATCATTAACAGAAAGTGTTGTATTTTTTTGATGCACCTTCCGTAGAGTATTGTGCTTGCGGTGAGCGTCATTTCGTGGTAGCGTTTTGCTATGCGTCAGTTTTGCTTCGTAGAGAGGAGCTTAATGCGAATTGCGACTGTCTGAAATGGATCAAATCGAAAGTAAAGGTTGTGGTCACAGCAAATCTGAGCTGTGCATAAAATGTTTGTTGGCCGACGCATTCAACCTGAAGGACGATGACCTGGCGCCAACAGTGGCCAGAACTAATGACCGTTGTCTGTTACCGTCGCAGCAGGATAAAAACTTTGTAACGGCCATGGCTACATGCGAATTGATCTCTGACGAGCACCAAACTGCTAGCAACAGGAGTCATCCGGTCTGCCAACAGCGGGAGGACGATGGTCAGCATCAGCAGGGGTTCTGTTCGTCGTCCGGGAACGTGCAGTCGAATCCTGCGACCATTGACCCCGAGGATATGTCTGATGGGCCTGCCTACCGGCGACAGTCGTTGCTACTCCGGCTGTTCGAAAGCAAACTCTTCACGATCACCATCGCTGTCCAATATCTGTTCAACAGCAAAGAACCTGGCGTGCTCACTTACTTAGGTACAGACTTTCTCCCTTCGTTTGTCCCCTGCGACGCTGAAGCATGCTCTTTTCCAGGCAACCGGCTTTTCAGCTTCGCCGAAGAGGAATTCGACTTCTACCTGCCTCAGATCGTCACTCTGTATATTAACGTGCGTGAAGTAGCCGAAGTGTTGCATCCGTACGTCGTTTACCGGTACGCCGCTGTCTTTTCTTGTGTATTCGCCGGGTTTGTTCGTTGCCACCTGGTTACACAGCCTTGAGGCCGTGGTTGCTTATTCGATATAGCGTTGGACTCAAAACATAGGGATCCCGGGTTCTCTCCCATCTCGGATCAGTCTCCTTTCTTCTTTTTAAAACAGTGGTAGACAAATAAATACCATTCCGTATAAAAACATGAAACTGCACGTTTTACTTGCCACATGACTCTAGGTTGTACCTTTAAAATGCGGCATACTTGGCTGATGACATGGAAATAGAGCTCAGCACCGCATCAAATTTCATAAGAGAAGAACTTCAAATGGTCCCTTGTTATGAAAATGTAAAGATGATTTCGTTCGCTTTGCTGTGCTGTACTTGGGCTGCATTCGCGCTTCCTTCGTTCGCGTTCAAGCGCCGAAGTTCGGTTAGCGAAAGGCCGACATATCTGCCTTTGTCTTTTAAGTAGATCTGTTTCCATGGACTCTCCGAATCCGAACAAATCGTCACTGAGGGATTGAAATTGGGCCTCCATATTTTTCCCCAGGGGGAGCATGATTGAATTTTTTCAGCATACTGTCTTCCGTCATAACACTGGTTGACATTGACATATGAACAACAGCGTTTACATACTCGTCAACCCACAGCGGTTGGGACTCAAACTCGTCTGTTATACGTTTGCTTAGTTTGGGATAGTTGACCCTGTCAGTGATTCACAACTGTCAGAATTTTCTCGCTGAATATTGGGCTGTAGTCTTATTAATCGTTTTTGTTTAAATGCGCTGACCGTAAAGTTAACCAAATCCGAGTGGCTATTCATCGTTGAGGAGGATCAAAGGCTAGTGGACATGACGGACTCTGTGCAGAACTGCTGAACTGCGGAGATGAAAGCTTGGTCACGTGGATTCGCTAGGTCTTTGGGAGCATATGAAAATATTGAATGATATCGGAAGACTGGAAGAAGGGAGTGATTATTCCAAGCTTCAGACGTGGAAGTCACGCTGAATATATTAACTATTGGGGATCACCGTGCTCCCCCTGCTAGAGAAGAATTTCGCACGGATAATCCTCAGCGGAATAAAGTTGAAGCGGAATAGTCTCTGCGGACGAACCGGTCGGGATTCCCGAGAGATTATTATGCAGATGGCACCGTCTTGCTACAATAAATGGTCAAGCAATACCTACAGTTCCATTTTCTCTGACACTTGACATTCCTAGACTTAAGCACAACGTTTAATTCGGTCCATCGCCAAACCATATTGCGAATCATTCGTCCGTGTGGAGTATCTCACAAGATTGTAGAGCTGCTTAAAAGAA